TTGTAATTTCATATTTGTTCAATTTAGTCCTCCAAATTTTATTTGCACCTGAAATTGACTCATACTTATTACTTATTTATATTTTTAAATTGGCCCATAACTTTTTAAATGGGTATAATTTAGTACTTTTTTGTATTAATTTTAACCTCAAAATTTAAAATTATTTTGATTTGATCCCTTTTGTGTTGTTTAATATATTAAAATTTTTATTTGCAATTTCATATTTGTTCAATTTAGTCCTCCAAATTTTATTTGCATCTGAAATTGACACATACTTATTACTTATTTCTATTTTTAAATTGGCCCATAACTTTTTAAATGGGTATAATTTAGTACTTTTTTGTATTAATTTCAACATCACAATTTAAAATTATTTAGATTTGATCCCATCAATGTGTGTTGTTTAATTTATTTAAATTTTTATTTGTAATTTCATATTTGTTCAATTTAGTCCTCCAAATTTTATTTGCATATGAAATTAATCCATACTTATTACTTAATTCAATTTTTTTAATTAGCCCATAACTTTTTAAATGGGTATAATTTAGTTTTTTTGTATTAATTTCAACCTCACAATTTAAAATAATTTCGATTTGATCCCTCATCAATGTGTGTTGTTTAATTTATTTAAATTTTTATTTGTAATTTCATATTTGTTCAATTTAATTCTTAAATTTGTATCTTTCATAAAATTGAACCATGATTATTTATATTCTTAGTAATTTATTCTAAATCATATACAATTACAAATTGCAATTTAACGTTCGAGAAAGACGAAAATAATTAATCCAAAAATAAAAATTAACCCGATTTGAACTCAATCTGTATCTGATAGAGATCCGACCTGAATTTTATCTGCCAATGATGTGACCCGATCTGAACGAGATCTGCCTGAAGTCAATCCGAACCTGAATTAACCTGCTTTTTAACTACTTCGGACCTGAACTATTTTGAACTGAACTGGTAACGATCTGAACTGAAAATGACCTGAACTGAACCCGATCTGGATCTGATGTCAAATCAACCTGAAAATAACCCGAACTGATTTGACCTGACCTGAACCCGATCTGGATCTGGTGTCAAATTTACCTGACTTAACCTGTATCCGATTTTATCATACCTACTAGGATCCGACTGAAACCTGAACGATTACCCGATTTTACACCCCTAACTAAGGAGAAGTCACCTTAAGATTTGAGGACAAATCGCCTAAAAGAAGGGTAGGATGATGTGATCATGTCTAGCACCAACTTTCTTCATGACACACTCACATCATTGAAGATTCATCAAGCTCAATCTAAGGGAGTTCTACCTTACTTTATATTATATTTACTCATTTATGTTGGAACATCCTCCATACCGGAATAGTGATCAAATTGTGAAATTCTAAAATTCAGTGACCAAATTGGATAAATTGAAAAGTTTAAAGAATTAATTGAAATGTTTTGTGTATGATTAATTAACAAAGACGGAGAAACATAAGGGGTAAATGAGTCTTTTAATAGAGGAAATAATTAAATATTAGATGAGGATATTTAAACCCACGTGGAAGGCAAATGAAGAGAACAAAAGTTTCCAGATTTCTCTTCTTCTTCACTTCTTCTTCTCCATCGACAGACCAAGCTAAAGGTGAGTTTTCTTGTTGATTAAATTCTTGATGAATTTAAGGTTGCTTATTGATCCTTAGATGATAACTAAGCTTAAGGAAAGCTTAGATTATCTTAAAACCATAAGATGAGGAGTATATGAAGAATTAAAGAAATTAAGTAGAAAAGTGAAATCTTGGATTAGAGTTCATAATAAGAATTAGAAGTGGGTTTTGACTTGTCATAAAGCTAACTAAAAAGTATGAGGTGTTAGAATTCAAATTAGAACATGTTGGAATTTGGGTTAGATTCTTAAATTCTATATGGAGAATTGGATTTCTAAGTTTTAGATGTATGAAATGGATAATAATTAGTTTAAGTAAGAGTATGCAAGTTAGGGATATAAAAAGAGGGGATATATAAAGTGTTAAGAAGATTAAGAAGAGATTTTAGTGCTTAAAAGACATTTCTGGGCAATATGCATCGATGCACATTCAATGTGCACCGATGCATCAAGGATAAATCCCATAAATTGTTTAAGGTGTACCGATGCACATGAAGTGCATCGATGCACTCTTTTAAAATACAAACATCGAATGCCATAGATGCATCGATGCATAAGGAGTGCATCGATGCACCCCATTAAATACAAACATCGAATATGATTTATGCATCGATGCATGTGTAGTGCATCGATGCATACCTCCATTAAAAGATGAAAATGACTTTTCTTTTAGCCTAGAAATGATAGTTTATATATACTAATTATACTGATAAGTATCAATGAATTACTATGTAGATATCGAGCCAAACGAGTTCTGGAACAATCGACAAGTAGGATTGATCGAGGAAAAGACAAAGAAATCTAGGTGAGTGCATATGCATAGCATGAATATGTATTCTATTCAGTTCTAGACTTGTGATAAGTCTAGATTCAATATTTTGATACGTGATCGCATTTCATATTATGATACAGGAGATGAATTCATACCATATGCATTATGTGACATGAATATGCAAGAAAAAGTTATATATGTCTATGTGATAAAGGTATGAAAATAATATGTCTACGTGATACAAATTATGTGAATTGTGAAAGCCCATGTTATATAGATGAGAACTATAGGTATAGTTGGCATGCCAAGGGTAGAGGGTCTACGGTCATTCGGGATATATATATATATTCTTTGGAACATGTGTGAAGTCTGTGAGACACATACTTGATCCTAGTATATGTATATGATTCTTAAGGAATGATATATGGTCCTTATGGACATTATTATATGGAACTACGGTGTTATTCTACGCGGAACTCCGGTGCAATTCTACGTGGCATACGAGCTGTGGTGATAGCATAGTGCACAACCTCACAATGCTCGCATACCTAAGGTTCTCAGTATGGTACCATGGGCTAATGAACTTAATAAGGTGAACTTATGAATGTGAATTTGATAAGTATATGTGTAAGAAATATGGTTATGGTTATTGCATTGCTTACATACATCTTATCATTGCAACCCATCTCATTTTGACAATTCCTTTATATTTTATTGTTATTATTATATTACCTCACTAAGTCGATGACTTAGCGTGTGAGTGTTTCACACGTAGGATCCGATAAAGTAGATTATCGAGGTTAAGCAGCTGGACAACATTACTCCTGCAACTATCTGATCAGAAGCAACTTAATCAGTAGGTCATTTTGTTATGTAAATGGATGTTGGCATGTAACTAAAGGGTTAAGTTGTGTATGCTTTGAGTAGTTTGATAAACTTGTATTAATATATGTATATTATTGTATTTTAATAAAATAAGTTTGAATGTTTTATCGGTTTTTTTAAGTATTGTTTTGTTTAGTCAATGTGACATCCTGAACTCGTATCCGGGTCGGATATGAGTTGAGGGTGTTATATTTAATGGTATCAGAGCTATGGTTTAGCCGATTCTAGGCATAAACCAGAGTCTATAGAGTCTTTAAATGGAATACATGCCAACAAATAGTGAGAACTTTTGATCTGGTATAGTATGAGTATGTTGTTTTGCTAATAGAACAATGTGTTTATTTTATTAGATGTCCGGACATAGTAGCTCCCGAAGTGAAGCGGGAAAAGATAGGCCTGCTGAAAGCAGTAATTCACCTGCCCTGGCCAAGCAAGGTTAAGGACAGGCATCTCAGGGAGTGCCTGTACAAGATCAATATACTTTCTTCAGGACGTTGGATGCTATTCTGACGCGTCTTCAACCTCCTGCTCCACCAAATCAAAGGATGAATGTCGCAAAAGAGTTGAGAGGTTTAGGAGCTCCTGAATATAAGGGAGAAGCCGAGGAAGGTTCGGTTGCGGCGGATCTTTGGTTAAATGATTTGAAAATCATATTGGATGGTATTCACTGTTCTGAAGTGGAGAAGTTAGATGGAGTTGTCTCGTTGCTGAGGGGTCAGGCGAGGATATGGTGGACGAACCTCACCATAAAGATGTCCAGTGACCAGTTGACTTGGTCTTTGTTCTTAGATGAATTTAAAAACAAGTACATTGGAGATCAATTTATTCAGCATATGAAGCAGGAGTTTTTGAATTTGAAACAGATGAATCACTCTGTATATGAGTATGAATCTGAGTTCAACAAGCTGAGCAGGTTTGCATCTGATCTTGTGCCTACTGAAAAAGAGGCTTGTGAATGGTTTGTGGAGGGCTTACACCCTAGATTGAAAGAGATACTGATAGTATTGAATTTTTCCTCGTTCTAAGAGGTGATCAATCGTGCCAAGGCTCTTGAAAGAGCTCAGAATGAGAGATTCAAGGATTTTAGAGTTCAGACATCAAAGAGGACAAGTGCTTCTTCTAGCTCAGCACCATCAAAAAGAGGAAGAGACTCAGGATTTTGATCACAAGCTAGATCAGAATCAGTTGCATCATCTGCTAGGGGAATAAGTCAGGAAAGACCTAGACAGACGCAGTCAGTGGGATCTGGTGTTGGGAGATCTACTCCGAGTCAAGCGAGACAGTGTCAGCACTGTGGGAAAAACCATTCTGGGGCTTTTCGGATGGCTACTGGGACTTGTTTTCGATGCGGAGATGCCAGACATTTTATTCGGGATTGTCCATTTATGGTTGGTGAGCCTGCACCATCTGAAAGAGTTGGTTTTGCCTCACAAAGAGGACGAGGAAGAGGCAGAGGTAGGAACCAGTTTGAATCCTCTGCTCAACCTGAAGTTCGGTCAACCGCACGGGTGTACAATCTACAGACAAGTGAAGATCGTGATGACCCTGATATTATAGCAGGTACTTTTTAGCTGTACGATAAATTAGTATTGATACTGATTGATCCAGGCTCTAATTATTCTTACATTACGAGTAAGTTAGTAAAGGAATTGAGGATTCCCTTAGAAGCTACGAGTAATGAGATTATAGTAACTAATCCTTTAGGCCATAGTGCTCGGGTGAACAAAGTCTGTAAGGGGTGTCCTTTGACGAGTTTGAAGTGATTCTGGAATGGATTGGTTGTTCCGTTACTATGGAGATGTTAATTGCAGATCGAAAAAGGTACCCTGAAAAGTCCAGGAGGAACAAAGATAAGTGTGAGTAGTGAAAGGTTTAACCCTTTAGCAAATGTAATATCAGTAATGTCAGCTAAGAAGCTGTTGCTACAGGGATGTCAAGGATTTCTTGCAAATGTGATAGATTCAAGAGCTAAAGAAAAAAGATTGAATGAGATTTTAATAGTTCGAGAATTCCCTGATGTTTTCCCGGCTGAGTTGCCAGGATTACCTCCAGATAGAGAGGTAGAATTTCAAATTGAAGTAATGCCAGGAACCGCTCCAATTGCAATGACACCTTATTGGATGACTCCGAAAGAATTGCAAGAGTTAAAGAATTAATTGCAAGAGTTGTTAGAAAAGGGATTTATTCGACCAAGTGTGTCACCTTGGGGAGCTCCGGTGTTATTTGTTAAGAAGAATGATGGATCAATGCGTCTCTGTATTGATTATCGATAACTTAATAAGGTGACCATCAAGAACAAGTATCCCCTTCCGTGCATTGATGACTTGTTTGATCAACTAAAAAGAGATTCGATATTTTTGAAGATCGATATGCGTTCGGGTTATCATCAATTGAAGATTCAGGAGAAAGATACTCCGAAGATGGCTTTCAGAACGAGATATGATCATTATGAATTCATTGTAATGCCATTCGGAGTAACGAATGCACCTGCTGCTTTCATGGATCTTATGAACAGGATTTTTCAGCTCTATTTGGACCAGTTTTTTGTTGTCTTTATTGATGACATACTGGTGTACTCGAAATCCATTGAAGAGCACAGCACACATCTGAGGCTAGTTTTGCAAATTCTCAGGGATAAGAAGCTTTATGCTAAATTGTCCAAATAAGAGTTTTGGTTAAATAAAGTAATTTTCTTGGGGCATGTGATCTCGGCAGATGGGATTAGAGTGGACCCTCAGAAGGTTAAAGCTATAATGGACTAGGAAGTTCCAAAGAATGTATCTGAAGTGCGGAGTTTCATTGGACTTGCCAGTTATTATCGAAGATTCGTTAAGAATTTTTCGATGATAGTGCTGCCTTTAACGAAGATGATGAGAAAGAATGTATCATTTGTTTGGACTTTTGAATGTCAAGAAAGTTTTGAAGCTTTAAAGAAAATTCTGACAGAAACTCCTATATTGGTTCAACCGGAATCTGGCAAGAATTTTTTAGTAAACAGTGACGCTTCTAATAACGGGTTGGGGTGTGTATTAATGCAAGAAGGGAAGGTGGTAGCATATGCATTGAGGTAGTTGAAACCACATGAAAAGAATTACCCCACCCATGATTTAGAAATGGCTGCAGTAGTGTTCGCCCTCAAGATTTGGTGTCATTATCTGTATGGAGAACGATGTTATTTGTATACGGATCATAAGAGCTTGAAATATCTGATGACTCAAAAAGAGCTTAATTTGATACAAAGGAGATGGGTGGAGTTTTTGAGAGATTATGATGTGATAATTGACTATCATCCCGGAAAGGCCAACTTGGTAGCAGATGTCTTAAGCAGGAAAACGTTTGCAGCATTACGAGCTATGGATGCAAGATTATCTTTAACTGGAGACGGTGGTCTTTGTGCAGAGTTAAAACTTAAACCAGCATGGTTGAAATGAATAGGAGAATTGCAAAGTAAAGATGGAACATGTTTGAAAAGAATTGAGCAAGTAAAGAGCAAAGAGATTAAAGACTTTGAGGTTAAGTCAGATGGAAATATGTATTGTAAAGGAAGAATTGTGATACCCAACAATTAAGACTTGAAGAAAGAAATATTAACAGAGGCTCATTGTAGTCCATTAAATATGCACCCTGGGGGAACCAATATGTATATGGATTTGAAGGATCGATTTTGGTGGCCAGGGATGAAACGAAGCATCATCGAATTTGTGTCTAAGTGTTTGATATGTCAACAAGTCAAAGATGAGCATCAAGTTCCGTCAGGATTATTGCAACTGCTTTACATTCCTCAATGGAAATGGGAAAATGTTATGATGGATTTTGTTTCGAGGTTACCCTTGACTCTGAACAAAAGAGAATCAATCTGGGTAATTGTTGATCGATTGACTAAGTCAGCACATTTCCTTCCAGTTAGAACAGATTTCTCTATGGAAAAGTACGATGAGCTGTATATTAGAGAAATTATTAGATTGCATGGAGTGCCTGTTTTCATAGTCTCTGATCGAGACCCTCGATTCACTTCTAGATTCTGGAAATCTTTGCATGGAGCCTTGGGAACTCGTTTAAACTTTAGTACGGCTTTTCATCCTCAGACTGACGGGAAATTAGAGAGAACTATTCAGATATTAGAAGATATATTGAGAGCATGCGTAATGGAATTCAAAGGATCATGGGAAAAGTATTTACCGCTGGCAGAGTTCACTTACAACAATAGTTATCAGTCCAGTATAAAGATGGCCCCATATGAGGCATTATATGGGAGGAAATGTCGTACTCCATTAAATTGGTATGAACTCAAAGATCGAAGTGTTCTTGGTCCGAATTTAATTCAAGATGTAGAAAAGAAAGTTCGAGAAATTCAGCATAACCTCTAAGTAGCCTCTGATCGGCAAAAGTCCTATTCTGATCTTAAAAGAAAAGAGATTGAATTTAAGGTTGGAGATAAAGTTTTCCTTAAAGTATCTCCCTGGAAGAAAGTATTACGTTTTGGTCGGAAAGGAAAGTTATGTCCTAGATTCATTGGGCTATATGAAGTTGTTAAGAGGATAGGACCCGTGGCATATCAGTTATCCTTGCCACCGGAAATGGAGAAGATCCATAACGTCTTCCATGTGTCCATGTTAAGAAGATATAGTTCTGATCCCTCTCACATCGTTGCACCAGAACAAGTAGAAGACCAATCGGATCTGACATTTAAAGAAGAACCAATGAGAATATTGGCTTATGAAGTCAAACAGTTAAGGAGTAAGACAGTTCCGTTGGTCAAGGTTCTTTGGAGAAATCACAAGGTAGAAGAAGCCACGTGGGAACGTGAAGATATGCGACTTTAATATCCCCATTTATTCGTACAATAAAAATTCGAGGATGAATTTTCTTAAGGGAGGGAGATTTGTAACATCCTCCATACCGGGTTAGTGATCAAATTGTGAAATTCTAAAATTCAGTGACCAAATTGGATAAATTGAAAAGTTTAAAGAATTAATTGAAATGTTTTGTGTAGGATTAATTAACAAAGAATGAGAAACTTAAGGGGTAAATGAGTCTTTTAATAGAGGAAATAATTAAATATTAGATGAGGATATTTAAATCCACGTGGAAGGCAAATTAAGAGAATAAAAGTTTCCAGATTTCTCTTCTTCTTCACTTCTTCTCCATCGAGAGACCAAGCTAAAGGTGAGTTTCTTGTTGATAAATTCTTGATGAATTAAGGTTGCTTATTGATCCTTAGATGAAACTAAGCTTAAGGAAAGCTTAGATTATCTTAAAACCATAAGATGAGGATATATGAAGATTAAAGAAAGGAGTAGAAAAGTGAAATCTTGGATTAGAGTTTATAATAGAATAGAAGTGGGTTTTGACTTGTCATAAAGCTAACTAGAAGTATGAGGTGTTAGAATTTAAATTAAACATATTGGAATTGGGTTAGATTCTTAATTTTATATGGAGAATTGGATTTCTAAGTTTTAGAGGTATGAAATGGATAAATAGTTTAAGTAAGAGTATGCAAGTTAGGGATATAAAAAGAGGGGGTATATAAAGTGTTGAGAAGATTAAGAGAGATTTTAGTGCTTAAAAGACATTTCTAGGCATATGCATCGATGCACATTCAATGTGCACCGATGCATTAAGGATAAATCCCAGAAATTGTTTAAGGTGTACCAATGCACATGAAGTGCATCGATGCACTCTTTTAAAATACAAACATCGAATGCCATAGATGCATCGATGCATAAGGAGTGCATCGATGCACCCCATTAAATACAAACACGAATATGATTTATGCATCGATGCATGGTGTAGTGCATCGATGCACCTCCATTAAAGATGAAATGACTTTTCTTTTAGCCTAAGAAATGATAGTTTAGAATATACTAATTAGTATACTGATAAGTATCAATTAATTACTATGTAGATATCGAGCCTAAACGAGTTCTGGAACAATCGACAAGTAGGATTGATCGAGGAAAAGACAAAGAAATCTAGGTGAGTGCATATGCATAGCATGAATATGTATTCTATTCAGTTCTAGACTTGTGATAGTCTAGATTCAATATTTTGATACATGATCGCATTTCATATTATGATACAGGACATGAATTCATACATATTATGTGACATGAATATGCAAGAAAAAGTTATATATGTCTATGTGATAAAGGTATGAAAATAATATGTCTACATGATACAAATTATGTGAATTGTGAAAGCCCATGTTATGTAGATGAGAATTATAGGTATAGTTGGCATGCCAAGGGAGAGGGTCTACGCGGTCCTTCGGAATATATATATATTTTTTGGAACATGTGTGAAGTCTTGTGAGACACATACTGATCCCTAGTATATGTATGATTCTTAAGGAATGATATGTGGTCCTTATGGACATTATTATATGGCACTACGGTCAATTCTACGCGACACTCTGGTGCAATTCTACGTGGCACTTCAGTGCAATTATACGAGCTGTGGTGACAACATAGTGCACAACCTCACAATACTCGCATACCTTAGGTTCTCAGTATGGTACCATGGGCTAATGAACTTAATAAGGTGAACTTATGAATGTGAATTTGATAAGTATATAGTAAGAAACATGGTTATGGTTATTGCATTGCTTACATACATCTTATCATTGCAACCCATCTCATTTTGACAATTCCTTTATATTTTATGTTATTTATTGTCTCAATAAGTCGATGACTTAGCGTTTGAGTGTTCACGTAGGATCCGATAAAGTAGATGATCGAGTAAGCAGCTGGACAACATTACTCCTGCAACTATCATATCAGAAGCAACTTAATCAGTAGGTCATTTTGTTATGTAAATGGATGTGGCATGTGACTAAAGGGTTAAGTTGTGTATGCTCTGAGTAGTTTGATAACTTGTATTAATATGTATATTATTGTATTTTATAAAATAAGTTTGAAGTTTTATCAGTTTTTTAAGTATTGTTTTGTTTAGTCATGTGACATCCTGAACTCGTATCCGTGTCGGTATGAGGGGGTGTTGCATATGCACTATATATTACTATGAGCATACATTGGCATAATAGACTATACTTGAATTATCATAACTTGTGCATTCATATGTCATTTGGTTTGCATCATTGATGAAATTCAAGCATATATCTATAGCTATAATAATATTCATTCATTATCATATGATGCTGAGTTTTATTATAACTTATAGTCCACATCTTTATAATATGCACATCATTATTCTTTAAATACTTAGCTTATTGTTTTTCTTTATTAAAGTACATTCGACCACTCAACTTGGGAGCTATATCAAGCTAAATGGAGTATGCAACAGCAAGGACTTACATGGGGACGTTTAGGAGAGCTAAGGAACATTTGGTGAAAGATATCCAGAGACCCGTGAGCTCATAGCTGGATTGAGCTAAAGATTTGAGCTACAGATGACTTCAATTCAGCTGGGGAGCTGCACCATCATCATCACCACTAAACACTTCAAATTGTTCTAAGTCAATTGAAATTGTACCTTTTCGCGAATGGTTACCACCTCAAGAGGTACCTTTTCATAAGGAGTTGCCATAATGTTCATCATGTTACAACTCACCTATAGCTAGCTCACCTCTGGCTCATTCACCCTAGAACTAGCTCAAACATGAAAGGTTATCTTCCAACAATTATGACCTTTAATGAATGTTGATGTCCATGAAGAAGTCCTTTCATCAAGGCTTACGTTGGAGAAGAGATTGCATCCATTGAAGGCCTAAATCATGAAGAGACATGAGATAAACAACAAGACCATTCGACCAGTCCCCACATGCCTAGCACATGCACTAGACTTGGTTGAAACATCACCTAACCATTCGACCAGGGAGATGTATTCATTTCAGCCGAAACATCAAGTCATTTCATGATGAGTAGCCAAACCAATACCAAGGCTAATGAGCATCTCCATTCGTCCAAAGCATCATGCACCTTCAAATAATCATGTATTTAGACAAATAGACATCTAATTATTCGGCCAGCCCTCTCATTTCCTATAAATTGAGAGGTTGCCATCATTTGTAAGGATATCATATCATATATAAAAATTACTCTTGTGAGTTAATTTCTCTTCAAAGTTCTTTGTGAACTTTATCGATTAAACAAGTATACTTCCTATACTTGTGGCGTCATTCCTTCCATCCCGATTCCAAAATTCCTAGATTGATATCTAGTGGTTGAAGACACTATCACCACCCCTCAAGCAAGTTGTGAAGACCGGGATTGTGCTCTTAGCATTTTTTCATCTTTGGCGTGCTTGAGATACAACACCACCATCTCCTTCTCATCATCACACCATCAACTTCATCATCAAACACCATCAATTCCGCAACCATCTCTATCCCTTTTCTTCATTTCATCATTTATCTTATTATTACATTTATTATTCCAATATTAATCTTATTTCTTTCTTATTTGCAGCCCAAGCTTATAGTTCAAGGACATCAGTACTTGTCAATCCTAGATCGGACACAATAAGGCTATCTACTCTCTTATCCCAAAGTGTGTAGATCACCTTATCACTTTTTAACCTTGACCAATGTTTTGTATTTGGCTTAAGGTATTTTGGTAAAATAACAGAAACAAAAAGACTTACGGTTGAAATGCAGGGTTTTTTACTATGCCTGGTGTTCAATAACTAATCTAGTATCATTGCAAACCGGTACCTTATTGCAACTAAATACACCATCCCTCTTCAACTAACCATATCAAAATGCTATAAACTATAGACAAAAGCTAGTACAAATCCAGTTACTAGGTCAAAAATGACGTACTCAGATTTGAGTATGAATGTATGATATTTCAGTTTGTTTCAACATTTTTCCATGTAACTGAAGGGTCCATGGAGAGTCAGATCCATATGCACATGTCCGTTTATGTGTTAACACGGGAGTCAAATATGGATGGCTTCAAGAACAATGTAGAGTCGGAAAAACATATATAAAGGATAAAGGAAGAATATTAATGTATTTAAATGGAAATCAGAAGAAAAAAGTACAAAGTTGATATAAACCAACCATCTTCTACATTAACAACGACTGATGTATTGGAGTTAGAACTGCAACTGAACATATCTTGGACTCAGATATGATTGGTGGGCATGGATATTGTTTGCACAAGTCAGTTCTTTCCAAGATTTTCATATACTTGGGAGGCCTTTGGAGGTTCATATCCCACCCATGTCTGGATATCATCAGAGACAGTGCCAGACATACTTCAAGAAAAATTAAAGATGAAGCAACATAGAGTGCACTTGCTACGTGTTTTATGCTCAGTTCACTATGGTGTTAGTGCAAGCTTCACATTGTTTTTCATGGGTCCTAAATCTTCATAAGAGAAATAAACAGAGAAGGCAATAGAAACAAGATAAATTGCGTACCAAATGCTCGTCTTTTGTGATATGAACATATAAGAAGCCAACTGTGTAGTTGTAGACATGGCAATGAAATCCACAGAATCCAGATCACTTTCAGAAAAGGTCATATGTAACAAGTTTGGTTGATTTAGGACTTCCATGTTTCCTGCACTGTTAGAACCTCCCAGGGATGCATCGGTTGAAGAACATGTCGCCAATGCATGCCATCTACATGCAAATGATGCAATTTCTTGAGCTCTATGAGAATTCTTGTGGCTGCATGCAAGCAAAGAATGATCCCAACACCTAAACATCGAGGATCTAGGAAAAGGCAAGAAAAAGAACAAACAACAACAATTAGAACTCAAAAGTATTAAATGGTTAAACTCTGGAGAAACTATGCCAGGAGGATTGGTTAAGCTTACGGATGAACGATTAAACTATACAGAAATAAGTATCCAACTTACTGCAAAATCGCCACCATTTATGAAGTTAACTGTTCTACCAGATATTGTTGTCTGGAGAAGATTCACAAGTTGGCTAACCGACACTATAAAGAAGAAACATCTGGAACCTATGGCTTCTTGGAGAGACGATACCGTAGTCGAATGTTCCCCTATAATACTACAACATCAGATTCTCTTTCTAAGAGCTTTGTATAATCATCAAAGTGAATAACTTGCATGTTGCAGAATAAATGAAACAAGATGCTGGCGGATAGACTAATCGTACAAACATAAGTCTAGGACAAAATCAAAGCAACCAAAATAGCAACAGATATCCACCATGAATCTCGTTGCTCATATAAACTTCGAATGACCACACGCGCCATCTTCAAATAAAGCAAGGAAGCAACCACCATACCATCAGGCGCGTAGAAGCCTATACAAAGTACTAAACAAATCAAAAACAGAACTAAACAAGGAAAATATTCAAGTGCGTCTTAATTTAATTTTATCACCAAATTTGCTAGTGCCAAACTATTGGAAATTCATACTGTGTTGTTATAGTTCTTAATTATGATTGGCACATATTTGTATCCAGACGGTAATGGGGTCAGAGGGGGACCTGCGCCCCCAGCCCCACACCACCCCAAATGAAAATTAGAATTTAGCCCCTCGAATTTTTTAAAATTTCAATCTGGTCCCTTCAAAATTGTTAAAGTTCTCATTATCGGTAATTTGCAAATCTATAAACAAGCAAAGGTCAAATAGGAAATCATTTACAAGCAAGGATTAATCATAAGCTTTCTATTTTCGTATCCGTGATTGATTGATTGATCCAACGACATGAATCCATAGTATATTAAGATCAAAACATTGAATGCGCTAATCCTGATTTCGCGTTGGTAAATCAAACTAATCAATTTTAACACACAGTTTTAAATAAACGAGGGAACTTACCGAAATCTGCTTAACATAAAGGTTGGAAAAACGAGCCATTTGGCTGCAGTATTGATCAAAGAACAAAAACCTCCGAAGACCGTACTTTCTGAGATTAACGAAATGCAAAACAAGGAAACGGCCGCCATGCAAGCCTGAGAAGCCACAACATCCATCCCGAATCCTTAATCTGGTACGTCTCGCAACCATCGCACTTGGAAATTTCTAGAACCAAAACCCCTACGACTGTGAACGCCGCCCAAGACAAGGAGACTGAGCAAAGAGATTGATTGAAACCGAGGAAAGTCAAAAACCTCTCCAATTTTTCCAACGAATCATCGAGATCGTGGAGAAAGTGGTTGGTGAAGATTGTAAACGTGTCAGAGGTCATCCCTTGATAACTAATTTTTTTAATTTACGGCGTTGGAAGGTAATTAATTATAGACTGAAGTCCTTATTGACCTCTTTAACGGTAAGCAGTTGATCATGTTGGCCGTTGACACAATGATATCTGTTTGATGAAAAGGGGCCAACTAGGTGTGATTATATCTTTATGATGACTCTTTTTGCTAATAAGCATGACGTCAATTGCCTGATAGTGGGACTAGAACTTGACTACCTTTGAAGTTATACGTCCCCTTTATGAAAGCTACATGTCGCGGCCGTCTTCGGTGGGTTCGAAATTGAGTTTCGACTGAAATAAAATATTAGAGTCACCAGCGATCATTTAAAAAAATAATTTAGGTTGACCGTACACATCTTACATGATTTTTCGTTTTACAAGAAATGTGTCGGGTTCGAGAGTCGGTTACAGTCAAGGAAGGATTAGCACCCTTGTACTGCCCTTTCGGTACCAATTAATTTACCAGTTTTTTTTATTGCGAAAATTTAAATTAAAATTAAAATTTAAAAACCCGATTTAAATTGATTACCTTTGATTGTTTAGAATTCCTCTAAAAAGTAAAAATGTTAGGGAAGAAAAAATACTTAATTGAATAAAAGAAATGAGAAAATCGCCTCAGTGACAAAAATGCCTTATATATAACGATTAACCAACTTTTTTTGGATTTGCCAAAATGACCACAAAATCTCAATGCGAAATAAAAATCGCAACGCGATCTCCAGAATCGCAAATCAGTTCCTAGAATCGCAACGCGATTATGAAGAATCGCAATGCGATAGTACAAATTCGCATTGCGATTTTCCAGAATCAATCGCAACGTGAATATGAAAATCGCAACGCGAACATATAAATCGCAACGCGATTCTGACTATCGCAACGAGTATCCGTAAATCGCAACGGTATCCGTAAATCGCAACGACAATACGTAAAATCGCAACGCGTATCCGTAAATCGCAACAAGAATACGTAAATCGCAATGCGTATCTGTAAATCGCAACGAGAATACATAAATCGCAATGTGTATTCGTAAATCGCAACGACAATACGTAAAATCACAACGCGTATCCGTAAATCGCAACGCGATCGATAATTCGCAACGCGATCTCCGGTATCGCAATCAGTTTCCAGATTCGCAACGCGATTCTGACTATCGCATTGCGATTTCCCAAATTCGCGTTGCGATTTCCCAAATTCGCGTTGCGATTTTCCTAATTCGCAACGTGATTACGTAAATCGCAATGCGAATACGTAAATCGCAATGCGAATCTGTAAATCGCAACGAGAATCTGACTATCGCAATACTGAATTTCAAATTCGCAACTCGATTTTTGAATTCGCAACAGGTTTTAATTTCGCAACACAAATGTTTTGGGTATATAACTACGCAGCAGCAGCAGCAACATAACCTAAATCCCTAAATCGCAACTCATTCCATCTCATCTATCACTCTCTCCGGCGACATCCGTTCCTATATCCAACGACATCTTCCCCATCCGGCAACAGGTTTTAGTTTCGCAGCTCGTTGTTTAGTAAATTAATTTACAATAATGAAATCATCTAATGTTGATCATGTTTGGATAGATTTGTGTTTGGAGGGTCATGGGAGAATGTTCATGGTGTTTTACAATATGCCTTTACCCATGAATCTTCAACTAAAACTGTCATTAAAAAAGTTAACTTATGAAACTCTAATGTTAAGTGTTGCAAATAAATTGAATTTAGAGCCGCTAAGTGGATTTAGGCTATCTTATCAGAGAAATGGTAAAGTTATTTGTTAACCGACAAGAAGATGTTGAACGATTCATTGCTTACATTAGTGTTTCAAGTGATGATGTTACATTGTATGTTGTTGAACCTAGAATAGTGAAGTTGGGTCAGTAGCGGGTAGTAATCAACTAAGTTTTTCAACCCAGTTTATGGTGCTCAAAATTTAATGGTTCCACACAATTTCATCACCAAGCAAATATTGTTTCACCACATTTCAATACCCACAATCTCAAAACCCACAACCTTTCCCTAATCCAATCCCATCAACTTCAGCACCAATTCTGGTTTTCGTATGACCAGTAGACGATGATGAGCCAACAGAAAAAATTGTGAGTACTAGTCAGTATTCGAAATTTGATCTTGGTTAATACCCGGACTTTGATCTTGGTCAATCGGATTTGATGATTTTTCAGAAGAAGAAACAGACCCTGCGTGTAATGATTTTGATATTGGTCAATACCCGAATTTGATGATGAAACAGTCGTTGCCGGGGAAGATGTTGTTGATGATAATGAGGAGGAAGTTACGACTATAAATGAACATGTTGAACATCCATTATGTAATTCATATAACACTGAAGAAAAAGAAGAAGAAGAAATCCCCAAAGAAAAGTCCCCGAAGAAATACCACGGGAGTATAACTGGAATAGCAGAATTACTTCAGATACCGAAAGAAGAGTGGTAAGATAGCAGTTGATTGTTACACAAAAATTATTTGTATCAAGAAAGATGATTGTTTTGATACAAAGGAAGACTTGAAGATAGCTTTGTATACGAAATGTGTCGAAGATGACTATCAACTAAAAGTTAACAAATCAAGCAAAGATCGTTTCGAAACAAGGTGTATGATTGACAAAAACTGTATGTGGCGTATGATTACAAAGAGGATAAAAGATTGCGAAATTCAAGTTAGGACTTTTATTGATAAACATACATGTTCAAGAACCCAAGTTTTTCCTCACCATAGACAGGCAAACAAAAAGGTGTTGGGTGGTTTTCTGGCTGAGTTAATGTTTTTGAATGGTAGTGTATATCGGGGACATGAAATTATGACTGACATGAATGCTCGGTTCAAGATTAGTATCTCATATTCTCAAGCTTGGAGAGCCAAATGTTATGCCTTGGAATTATTGAGGGGGTCGCCAGAAGCATCGTTTGCCCAACTGCCGGCTTATTGTCACAATTTAAAGCTGAAAAATCCTGGGTCGGTAACTCATATCAAAATAGATAGAGATGGACGCTTTGAGTTGCTGTTTATCGCCATTGGTGCTGCGGTTAGTAAATCAATATAATTTTGTTGACTCATTTTTGTTAGTTACATGCATTTCACATTTAAGATTATATTTCTTGTGTATATGATTTTGTAGATTCGTTCGTTTATTAATTGCATGCGCCCAATTATTATAGTTGACGGAGCACATTTAAAAGGTTGATACCTTGGAGTAAACTTATTAGCAGTAGCCATGGATGCTAACAATGGGATACTGCCAATAGCTTACGGGGTTGGCAAATCTGAAACCTCTGATTCATGGACATGTTTTATGGGGCATCTTAGGGATTACATAGGTCCTATTAGCAATCTGACAATCATATCCGATAGGGAAAACTCAATTGACAACACTGTTAGAAGGTGTTTCCCAGATGCTTTTCATGGACTTTGTGGTGTTCATTTGTATAGAAATCTAAAATCAAGGTCTGCTTGTATAAAAAATCACAAATGGACATACTGGAAGGCTGTAAAAGCTTATCGGAAGGGATTTTAATAAGCATATAAACTGTTTAAGACGTTTTGCCTCAGTGTACTCAAACACTAGAAGATGTCGGGTTTTAAAGATGGTCAAGAGTACATCAACTTGGAGCAAGATATGGTTTCATGACGTCTAATAGTGCAGAATCAATCAACGCTCTAAGTCGTCATTCCCGAAAATTACCCATTACTATGTTAATGGAGTTTTTCGAGCCTCTATTCAACAGTGTACTACAGAAAAGAAACCATACATGTAGTATTTCTTTAAATTCGTAACTTATCATATATTTTACTAAGTATTATTTTTAAATTTACAGGAACATTGGAACATCGTGTTACACCATGGACAGAAAAAAAGATAACGAAACGTGTGTGAAGTCAACGTCATGGAGAGTTGAACCATGTTCAAACACTTTGTTTGAGTACTGGATAATAACTTAATGGGCTTGTCGATCTAAATGCAAAGACGTGTAGTTGTATGAAATGGCAAACATCTGGTTATCCGTGTGGCCATGTTATAAAAGTTTCTCTTCATCTAAACCAAGATTATTCAAGCGCATACGCTATGGATTGCTACACTACAGAAGTATATCGACAAACTTATGGCGAGATTATCTACCCTATTCCACATCCTTCTGAGTGTGACATACCAGATGACTTACAAACAGTTTTGCCACCAGCCATGGACAGAAGGCTACCTGGCCAACCAAAAAGTCACGATCATATACCGTCTAAGGGTGAAGAGAAGAAGAGATCGACATGTAGTCGGTGCAAGGAAAGTGGTCATACAAGGTTGACATGTGGATCACCAGTGCCATCACAATCATCTTTCCTCTATCAAAATATGGATCCTCATCAAAATCCCAATCACAACCGGCTTCACCTTTTAGGACTGTTAACTTAGGTGATTTTTAAATGCAAACGTTGTATTATGTGTATATTATGTGTGAACTTTCATAACGCTTGCATTTAAAACACGATATATTATGTGTATAAACAATTTATGCCGGTAACTTATACGAAAGCCA